TGCTGTGCTGTGCTGTGCTGTGCTGTGGCTCTGCAGGGATGTGAATCCCTCAGATGTGGATCTGGCCCCGCTCCTCAAAAACGAGCTGCGACGGCGGGAAGAATCGCTTGACGTGCGTGCCGGGGCCGGTGCGTTGCGTGCGCGGAACATTAGCGGATCACATCGCGCGTGCAAGCTGCTGCATGCACGCTGCATTCACGTGATTGTGGAGACAGGGCGAAAAGCGACAGCGGTATACCGTACGGTATGTCGCGCGCGCCATGCAGCTATCCTCGACCTCGCCGGCTTGACTTTTTGACTTGTGACTTTGACTCGAATTCAAGACTCCAAAGTGGCACTCACGGCCCATGCACCACAAGTGACGACACTCAGAACTGCGTCGTGTGGCAGCCGAGCGTTCGAATTCAAGTGCTAATGTGGCTGATCAGGATGCCAAGTCGCTGTCGAGGAAGAGTATGGCTCGCTGCATGCTCGTCCTTCGTCTGAGCATCGCGCTCGCCAGCCGCGAGCCGCTGCAAGAATACCTCTTCGCCATTACAGCCCGTGACTCCCACTGCTCTCGCGAAAGACCAAACCCTCCGTGGCCCTGTCAGCCTCGGCCTACAGGCACCGCAGTCGAAGTTTCACAGAAGTGGTGGGTACGTTATGGCTCACTGGTACTACTGTTGCGACCGAGACTTTGGACAGATTTTGATCTCGCACCAAGGAGCACGTGACCGCCGGCAGAGTCTGCGAGGCAAGCGCCCTTCAAACTTCGCCCCGACCGACTCGCACTCATGACTCATAACTCAATCACAAATCTCCTGACACATAGCTCAACAAGTTGCACACAGGAAATGGTGAGGGAGAATTTGCAACAAAGGGTGGTTCATAGTGCAGCAAGGGGTCGTGAATGTACATCAGCATTTGTGAATCGTGATGCCGTTTTGATCCCATGTCAACGATGCGCACGTGGACTATGCGACTCTATTCACGATATCGACCTATTCAGATTTGCATACAGTCGAATAGATGCCGACCAAGTGAGCGCTGCAAATCGGTGTCACATAGAAGGGGCAGCATATAGTAGTCGAGCTGAGTGACGTCCACGCTCATCTTCGGAGTTGCTCTCGAAGTCCGCGCGTCCAAACCTCTCCTGCGCTGCATGGGCCGCTTAGCCGGCGTACTTTCAAGTCGGAGCCGAACAGTGCCGCTCCGTACCTTTAGCCTCGTCCTGATCAGCATCTCCGACTCCCTTCACGACAACCAACGTACGATCAGAGCATCCTAGAAGAGGGCTTGTGAAACGACTTGGCGCCAGTCACGCCAGCAGTGATGACAGGACTAGCCATGCCGCCAATCGCGAGTGCTGTTAATTTGTGACTTTTGTCATTCACATTCACCCATTCACGAATCAAATTCAAGATTGTGGATGCGTCAGGTCAGACGTTGCGCACCTAAAGGCACGTTCTGGATGCTATAGGCCCAGCAGCAGAAGCTCGCGCGCGGACGCAAGGGCCGCAGGGCGGCTGTCCAAATCAAATCACAATGCGGCGACAGCCATAATTGCCATGCAGCAACCGACCCAGACTAGTCCAACGCCCACTCAATTTGGTTCCTGCATCTCGGTTCCAACGCGTGGTATTCAGCAACAAGCCTTCAGCGGTACCAGCCTTACTTCTTTCAACTCACGACTCGAGCTACAGTACAGTGGGAGTCGTGGTGAGTCTGCTCTGAGAAGCGTCGAAGTTCACATTCGTGATGCAAAGATTCTACTCAGCAGAGGCGCAACGTGCGTTCAATTCATGGACAAAGTCTGAGCCAAAATTCTTGATCAAATCGTGAATGGCTTGGGAATCTAAGCCTGTGATGAGCGGGTAAGGCACCAAAGCAGATCTGCAGCTGCAGTAGTTCACCGAGACCCGGCGTCTCCTCCTGTCCTGCCTTATGCCCACGCCTCCGCCACGCTTTGATTAGATGTTTCTCTTGGCACGCTCATGTGCGCCGAGGGATGTGAGTGCAGCATTATTGCATCGCTGCATAGAGATGCACGCTCCCTATGATCCTACGATGACCCAATTCCTTCAATGATTATGAAGTAGAATCCGAGAGTCCTCTTTAGAGGCAACCGTGAAGTGCTCTCTTCTGTTGTGACTTGAAACCTACTTACATCTCAAGGTACTGGGTGCATGCATGCATGATGCGCTGTGTAACAGCAGGCCGAGAACCGAGTCGAATCAGGATCCCTGTGTTTTGAACGTGCATGATGGTCTCGCGTGTCACTTGACCCGATCATTGTACCAAGACCACCAAGCACTCAATCATGATCGAATAATCGAACATGAATTTATATTTCATCCGCAATGCTAAGTGTTTGAGTCGTGAGACAAAGAGCACATGCGAAACATTCATGGTGTGCTGATGCTGGTCGGTCTCAAACCAGGCACGGTGGCTTGATTGCCTCTCCGCCAGCATGCAGCATGCATCAAGTCTGTTTGGTCCCGACGCGCTCGCCATCGAACCACCAGCAGCCCGATGCTCAGCTTGAAGGCATACTAACAGTTTTCGGCTGACTTGGCTGTGCATTGCATGGCGGCGTACAGGTAATAGGGTCTCGAACTCCGAAGATCTGCTGCTGTGGGGTATCAGTTGATCGTGTCTGTCATGCAGTAGTAGCAGTCTATTGTGGGCTGCTCTCGCTTGCGGATGCGCATGCGATCTGGACTCACTTTGACCGCGCAGTGCCTGCATGCATGGTCTGGGAGCCCTTGTACCAAGCATGCAGCGCCTGGACGCGCCTGCCTGGCTTCGCAGTGAGTCTGTGTGAGTGAAACCTCCTTGGCTTCCCACCTCACTTTGGACCAAGTCGCAATTAGTCTCGCGTGTCGACCGCAGAACAGCGAATGTTGCTGTGAATGTGCATCTTCCTTTCATCATGCGTTGGGAACATAAACTGATGTACAGAAGGTAGCAAAATAGCCACGAAAGCCATGCAGGTGTAAATCAGTCAACGGCCCGAGACCGCACGACTCGCGGCGGCGCAAGCGCCTGGGGCCCTCCGCACGCAAACCGCATGATTGAGAGCAGTTCTAGGTTCCCGCTCCGGACACAACTCCGCTTTGCTATTCGGTTCTCTCAACAAGGAGAAGTGTGGGCGCAGGAAACCATCCTACTTCGCCCTGCATAAACTGTACGCAAAGTCGCTGATGGATGACCTCCTGACAGCCCGCGAAAGGGTGCGAGTGCCTGAGGACATGGCTTTGATGAAGCAGAATCAGACCCAGCTAGGGTCTACGGTATATAGCATCTCCCCTTCTCGACTTCAGCTCGCACGTCTCATGTATCCTGGTGAGAGAAGCGCAGCTGTCACTAAAGCATCTCCTGAGCATTAAACTTCGACAGACGGCACTTTGCAAGCTCTACCGTGCTCGGCTACCAGCTTGCCTCCTTCCCTTCAAGCGGCCTGTACATCATTAGACAGGATACGAAGGTCAGGCCGTCCAGCATCTGTCACTTGACATCTTTCTTCCTCTTCCAACATTCCGCTTACTTTCCTCGCACGATCAAGCCCCTTCTTGCGATGGTGCGACTCCTTCCCAGTATAGTGGGTGCAGCAGCTGCAGCTGCTTCTTGCCTGGTCGGCACCACGGAGGCAGCTGCGACCTCACGACAAGCCACGACGACCTACTGCAAGCCAAGTCAGCCTTGCTGGCCAAGCCAAGCTGATTGGGATGCATTCAACCAGAGTATAGGTGGACGGCTTATCAAGGTGAGCTGCGCGAAGCATCGTTGGAGCTGGCCCAACTTGCTGATCGTACGCAATTGCTTTCCTCAAAAAGGTAACACCTTGGGCAGATTCATGCTTCGCCAAACCCAACGGCTTCAATGCGCTGCAATGCACTGCCGTCAAACAAGGTTACACGGATCAAAATGCCCGTCAAGATGTCATTGGAGTCACGATGGTCGACAACTGGTCGCAGTGCGGCGACGATAGCTGCGCGCTAGATCCTAGGAGCAGCCCCCTTGGCCTGACACTTGCCCCTAAAGGTGGTGGCAGCAAGACCTGCGGCTTGGGGAGAATCAGCCCTTACGCTGTCAACGTCGACTCTGCAGAGACGGCGAGCAAAGCCATCCTGTTCGCGAAAGCTCGTCGAATCAAGCTGACTATCAAGGTGAGTCATCTATGTGGAAGCGGCGAGCCTGTCTTTGCTGTCTAATCGCGGTCGCCATCATTGTGCAGAACACCGGGCATGACTACCTTGGCCGCAGTTCCGGTCCCGACGGACTGACCATCTGGACCCACAATCTCAAGTCGATCTCGTACGTCGAAAACTTCAATGGAAAGGGCAATGCGCTCGTAATGGGCTCTGGTGTGCAAGCAGATCAAGCATACACCTTTGCAAGTCAGAATGGCAAAGCCATTGCGCTTGGCGCCGTGGCCACCGTCGGTATCGCAGGCGGCTTCGCTTTCGGTGGAGGTCATGGCCCGCTTGCTCCAACACGTGGCATGGCTGTTGACAACATCTTGCAAGTGAGTAGCACCAATTGGAAGGTCTATACATCACGCTCACGCAACACCTTCTCCATCAGGTCACGGTCGTGACTGCTGACGGTACAATCCGCAGAGCGAACAGCGAGACAAATTCCGATCTCTTCTGGGCCATTCGCGGTGGTGGCGGTGGTTCTTGGGGCGTCATCACGGAAACCGTCATGAAGGTGCACCCCGACGGTCCCGTTCAAAATCTCGAGTACATCGTCGACTTCAAAGCGGTGCCGGAAGCGAACAGAGATGCTGCACGCATCGGCTACATGGCCAAGCTTGCAGAAGTTCAGGAAAACCTGATCAAGAATGGCTGGGTTGGATATCATTTCATCAACTCGGACACGTTCCTAGGCTCGGTCGGGGTTCCTTCTTCTGATTACGCAAAAGCCACTCAAGAAGTTGCGCCGCTAGTCGACTACATCAAAGCCCAGCCAGGCTTCACCTTCATCCCCGTTGGTCCGCTCACCACGTACCCAACGCTCGACCTCTACCGTCGCAAGCTGGGCCTCAGCTCCCCACGCCTCACACCCGTCGGCTACGCGCAACGGCTCTCTTCGCGTTTGATTTCCCGATCCACCTTTGCCACGAATGTAAGCCGCAATGCGCTCGCAACGGACCTCAACTCCGCTTTTAAACGTGTGAGCGAAGCCCAGCAAAAGTACGCCGACCATACCGATCCCATTGCACTCTTCATCTTCGCGACCACTCCGTTGCCTTCAGCTATGGGAGGTCCCAGGGGCGCGGACACCAGTCTCAATGCAGCGTGGCGCGACAGCTTCTGGCACGTCGTCAGCGCCGCAAACTGGGTCGAGGGCATACCAAGACAAGGCAAGGATGACATCGCTAAAGCTGTGCAAGATGCGGCCAACTTTTATCGAAAGTACGGATCGGGGGCGTACATCAACGAGGCCAGCGTCGACGAGGTGGATTGGCAAGGCGCCTTCTATGGCGGCGGAGCCAATTATAACAAGCTTTTGCAGATCAAGAAAAAGTATGACCCCGACAACGCTTTCCTCGTTTGGAAGGGTGTTGGCTGGACGGGCGCAGGGGATCGCTTCGCGTGCTACAACTTCAATTAGGCGTATGTCTCCCTCTCTTGACGACCGTTGCTAGGATTCGTCCCCTCTTCTCTCGCCTCTTTGCCCTTGTCTTCCATCCCGCTCTGTTGCCTCGACCGGCTTACAGCGGCAGATTTGCCAAATCAATGAACACGATGTCACGCGTCTCACGGTCATTTGAGCCATCCCTTGACAACGAAGCAACGATTTCTGGGCTCGCTCCACCTTTGTAGGCCGGGTCGCTGCCTGATGACAGACAGGACTGGCTGCCACGTGGCCACAAACGGCCCTATCTCTGCTGAGAATGTAACTTGAAGCGGACGTAGATATGCCAATCACCATCAGGCACGCTCGCGCGGGGTCTTTGATGTGGAGGCCGGGCCAATCACAGGCCTCGCACTGGAAATTACGTTGAGACAAATTTGGATTAGAGATTGTGATGAAACGGCAAGAATGTTTCATCAGGGGTATGTATAGCAGCGCCTTCGGCTATATTGAAGATGTATGTCACCAAGAGTCTGATGAAGGCATGGATGGCCCCACCGATTGGATCAAGCGCAAAATCATGTGCCGCTTTGAGGTTCCGTGAACTGTCTAGATAGTCGCGTGCTTTGTCAGCCAACAGTCATCATGCAGTCGCAATTGAATCACAATCCGAGAGCGGCATATGTCAAGTTGATGGATGAGATCCCTGCTAGCGGGCAAGCCCAGAGTTTCGACGAGTCAGAGTGCCGCGTGTGTGGAGAGAGCTGCGTCACCGGACTTGTTGCTCGCTGCTGGTTGGTCCGAGATGGGGTGCGAGGGGAGGGTTTGGTGCGCGCTCATCCTAGTTCCCCGCCACGCAAACAGACAGCAGCGTCCGCCGGGGACGGCCAACTTCCCACATGAGTTCGTGACTGGATTGCATGCCGCTCGGAAGCGGCGGCTCAGCAAACTGCGCGCGCCAAGTGGGTGAGCAAGGAGGATCTCTTGCCCTGCTGCTGCTGCTGCTGCTGCTGCTGCTGCACCTTTCGTGAAGA